GATGGTGGGGGGAGACAGAGAGGGAGGGAGGGAGAGAGAGAGGGAGAGGGGGAAGGAGGGAGAGATCAAGCCTTCTGGATCTCTTCTCACAAGGTCATGATCCTACCACGGGGGCCCCACCCTCATGACCTGTTCTAGCCCTGATCACCTCCCAAAGGCCCTACCTCCTAATACTGTCTCTTTGTGGGTTAGGACTTCACCTATGAATTTTGGGAGGGGACACAAACATCCAGGCACAACACCTCGGAAGTTGATCTGACTTCAGGTTTGTGGACACGCAGGGCAATGCAGGCTGTGCGGGCAGAGGACGCCCGTTGGTGGGTTCTGTTAGGAGCCACCCCAAACTAGGTTCTCGTGTGAGAGAACTCTACCCGCGTTGCACTGAAAACCTCAGCCCAGACTCATCCCTTTTCCAGTGTCCGTAGCGGGTTGCATTGTCCCCCAAAAGATAAATCCACATCCCAATCCCCAGGGCCTGTGAATGTGGCCTTGTTTGGAAAAAGGGTGTTTGCAGCCGTGATTAGTTAAGGATGTTGGGATGGGATCATCCTGGATTTGGGGCCGGCCCTGAATCGGTGACAGATGTGCTCATAAGAACAGGAGAGAGAGAGAACAGGAGAGAGGGAGCGAGCACAGAGTCACAGAGGGAGGGCCCTGTGGAGACACAGGCAGAGATGGGGTGACGTGTCTCCAAGCTGGGGAATGCCAGCAGGTGCCAGCAACTGCCAGAAGCCGGGAGAGAGGCAAGGAAACAATTCTCAGAGATTCCAGAAGGGGCCAACCCCGGTGCCAGCTTGATTTTAGACCTCTGGCCTCCAGGGCGGGAAGAACGAACGTCTGTTGTTCTGAGCTACCCAGTTAGCGGTAATTAATATGGCAGCTCCGGGAACGGATGCACTTGGCCTGGCAGTGACAGTTTTAATATCAAACACGCGGTTGTGTTTGCCAGTATCCCCTAACGGGTCCGAAACCCGGCCTGGGGTCTGGGCAGGCCAGCAGCTCTGCCTAGAGCCTCCTCCCTGCTCTGGACACGGCCTCCACGGCCCCTCCCAGCCCCTCCCTCCAGTTCTGGAGAGGACACAGCAGAACACCTTGGTGTCACCAATTTTATTTACTTACTTATAAAGTTTATTTATTTCGTGAGGGGCGGGGGGAGAATCCCAAGCAGGCTCCGTGCTGTCAGCACAGAGCCTGATGTGGGGCTTGATCCCACGAGCCCTGAGATAACGAACGGAGCCAAAATCAAGAGTTGGACGCTTAACTGACTGAGCCACCCCGCTAAACAACTATTTTAAAACCTCACCGCTTCGGCAAGTAAAGCTCAGAGTTAAAAGTCCAATGGGAGGCAGATTTCCCAGTGCGCAGAATGAAAGGTTTGGGGCAGGTAGGTCCTTCGCTGCATGTAACTATTAAGCAGGGATGGGAATGAATACAGGTCCCTGCTCACTGGCTCCAGGGTGACAGGTGAGAACACAGAAGTCCACCTGTGCCATCAGGGGTGTGTGTGTGTGTGTGTGTGTGTGTGTGTGAGGAGCACAGGTTGGCTGCTAGAGACCCGTCCTCGGGAAGGAGGGGGGGACGCAGCAGAAGCCCTTGAAGGCTGATTGTTGTCTGAAGACCTCTGCAGACACCCGGGCGGCCAGAGGAACGATGCGGGGCCCTCAGGGAAGGGAGGTCGGCAGGGAGAGGCGTCGATGAGGCCAGAAGGTCAGCGGGAGGCAGGAGGGACTTGGGGGACGACTGATGTGGTCGTGAGCACCTCTCGGCCAGGTTGGTCTGGTCACTGAGCGGCCGGTGGGGCGGGGGTGCGGACGGTTCTAGAGGTCCCCGGGGCTCAGCTGCATCGCTGGAAGCCCACTGGGACGTGCTGGACCCCTGGTTGTCAGAGGTCCCCAGATGTGGGGAGGCCCAGGCCCAGAGGTCCTTCCACGTCACGCTGTCCGGAGGACTTTGTCCTCGGGCCCCAAGAGCCCATCTTCCCGCCCAGAGCCTCTGCGGAATCTGCGAAGGGTCCACGGCAACTTGTAACGCTTTTCCTTTTGTGGAAGCCGCCGTCTTCCGGGAGAGGGGATCGCTCGGCCTTCCCGACGGTGACTCGGCCAGCTGTCTCTCTGGGCCCAGGGCTCACGACGGCCCGGCCCGAGCTGGGTGTGGGGGGAGACCCCGTCCTGTGGGCGAAGCTGTCCCTGGGCTTCTGTTCCAGGTGCGTTCTTCACGAAGGAGCTGGAGTTGGGCGCCGTGGCTGTGAAACTGGAGATCTGGGACACAGCCGGCCAGGAGAAGTACCACAGCGTCTGCCGCTTGTACTTCAGGGGCGCCAGTGGGGCCATCTTGGTGTACGACATCACCAGGAGGGTGAGGCTCCCCCCGGGCGCGTCCCCACCCGCCTTCGCGAGGCACCTGCTCCCTTGTGCTCCCGGGCACGGGGACGCTAGCTTCTGAGGGCTTTCTGTGACCGGCCCGCGCTGGTGCTTTATGGTAAAACCACCACAGCCGGTAGAAAACACTTAATGAAAGTCTGTCACTTCCTCCAGGAAGCCCTCACCGATAACCCCTGCTCCTCCTGCACCGTTGAGTTTGTGCCCCTCCGTGGTCCTCTCAGAACCCCGCACGGAGCACCCTCGTCTACCACTCACGGTTCCTTGGGTGCCCGCCGAATTGGTGAGGGGTGTTGTTGCGGAAATAGTACGCGGCCCCTGGCTGTCCGTCCCCCACAGTGTCATCTGGGTAGCTACTAAGTACGTGAGCAGGTGCTTAGAGCAGGAGGACGGAAGGGAGCTGAGAGGAGGGGCACCTGACTCAGCCTGGGGTTGGGAGACTTCCTGCAGGGAGGGAGGGAAAAGTGGGGATTAGCCTGTTGGGGGTGAGGCTGGGCACGGGGGTGCGGTGGGCGGGTGAGCAGGAAGGAAGAAGGTCCTTAGTGAGACAGCAGAGACCCAGAGACCGCGGGGTGAGGGCGGGGAGGGAGGCGGGTTGGGCTGGGGATTGGGAGGCCACCCACCTGAGCCGCTCAGCAGCAGGAAGGGGAGAGGGGCAGGGTGGGGCCCAGGGCAGGCCCCCCCCCCCCAGGCCCCGTCTCCGGGGTCCCGAAGTTAGGATCAGGTGACAGCCATGCCCCCAAACTCTCCTGCACGGAGTGGTCCCGGAGGGCACCCAGGAGTGAGGGGCCTGAGGCCTGACCCCGAACAGCCCGCAGCCTCCAGACTCGGGCCCTGTGGGGAGGGGAAGGAGCTGTGGTATGACCTGGGCCCCGAAGCCAGAAGACCGGGCCGCCCCGCCTCAGGGGACAGAGCAGCCCTCCGGGGGGGTCTGTCGTCTGGCCAACTGGACGGTGGGTGCTTCCACGCAGCGTGGCCGTGGACATCTGCATTGCCACACCCGCATGTCTTTGCTGGGAGAGCCGACGAAGAGCACCCGTGAGATTTGTGTGGCGTCCATGTTTTTTCTTCGTTAGGATTCCTTCTGCAAAGCCCAGCAGTGGCTGCAGGACCTCGAGAGGGAGGCGCCCCCGGGGGAGGTCGTGGTGATGCTGGTTGGCAACAAGACGGACGTCGGCGAGCGGCGGGAGGTGACGTTCCAGGTAGCGCTTGGGACTGGGTTGTGTCACTCCCCGAGGGGAGAAGGGGGTGACCCCAAGGTGGACACGACCACTCGCGACCCAGTCTCCCACCCACCCGCGTGCACACCACACCTGCACGCACGTCACAGACACTCATATATACTTCCTACTTGAATGTCCTTTTTGGGCAAAGATTTCTGATCTTTCCTGGAAAAGTCAGGCCTAGCGATGGTTGTTCCCCACATGTGGGGAGGCCCAGGCCAGCCCTTCTGGAAGGGGGCGGGGGGACCCGTGTGGCCGGTCTCCAAGGACCCCGGCCAGGTTAGCCAGGCTCACGAAGAAACCGTGGCCTTTCCTGCCCCTTCATCCCGGGCTGAGTTATGTGGGTGTTCAATCAATGATTGAAAAAGAGATAAGTGAAAAAATCCAGATTTCCTCGCTAGGAACCAAGCAAGGGCTAGAAAGTAAAGAAAGCCATAGTTGGGGTGCCTGGGAGGCTTAGTCAGTTAAGTGTCCGACTTCGGCTCCGATCATGATCTCGGCATTCCTGGGTTCAAGCCCCACGTTGGGCTCTGTGCCGACAGCAGAGAGCCTGATGTGGGGCTTGAACTCACGAACCACAAGATCATGACCTGAGCCCAAGTCAAACACTTAACCGACTGAGCAACCCAGGCACCCCCAATTTTCATTTGAGAGAGAGAGAGAAAGAGATTGTGAGTGGGGGAGAGGGGCAGAGGGAGAGAGAGAGAGTGGGGTTCGATGCATCCCACAACCCTGGGATCATGACCTGAGCCAAAATCGAGAGTCAGATGCTCAACTGACTGAGCCATCCAGGTGCCCCTGGCTTTCATTTAAAAAAATTTTTTTCAACGTTTTTTATTTATTTTTTGGACAGAGAGAGACAGAGCATGAACGGGGGAGGGGCAGAGAGAGAGGGAGACACAGAATCGGAAACAGGCTCCAGGCTCCGAGCCATCAGCCCAGAGCCCGACGCGGGGCTCGAACTCACGGACCACGAGATCGTGACCTGGCTGAAGTCAGACGCTTAACCGACTGCGCCACCCAGGCGCCCCGGCTTTCATTTTAAAATAATTCCAGGATTACAAAAAAGTGGTGCAGAAGTACCACAAAAAGTTCCTGTATGCCTTTCGCCCAGCCTTCCCGAACACTAACGTCTCGCAAAAACACAGAGCAGTGAGCAAATCAGGAAATGGGCATTCACGCAATACTAAGTCCACACCTTGTTCAGATTGTATCAGTGCCCCCCTAACACCCTGATGCATCACTCCCCGCAGTACTCACCCGTGTGGAGAGTGAGGGGGGACCCCCAGAAGGAGGGCTCAGCTCGGCTCGGCTTCCACATTTCCTGCCTTCTCACTTGCTTGGCCCTACATCAGAGCCCACGGGTGCAGGAGAGACGTGTGGGCGGGGAGCCGCCAGCTTCCCCTGGTGGCTCAGGCTCTGCTGGGAGGGGAGCCCTCCCCCTGCGAGGGCCTCCCCGCCTCCCCGGCCCTGGGCCCCTGCAGGAGAGAACCGAAACACAGAATTGGGAACCGTCACTGGTCTTGGGTCTTAGAAGGCAATTGAGTATTCCTAGGGAAGAGACTTTTTTTTCCTTAAAATTTTTTTTTTAAGTTTATTTCTGTATTTTGAAAAGGAGAGCATGAGCAGGGGAGGGGTCGAGAGAGAGGGAGAGAGAGAATCCCGAGCAGGCCCCACGCCGTCAGCGCGGAGCCTGATGTGGGGCTTGATCTCAAGAACTATGAGATCATGACTTGAGAAAAAAATCAAGAGTTGGGCACTCCACAGACTGAGCCACCCAGGCGCCCTGGGGGAAAGTCTTTTTGTAAATTTGCGGCCACTTCCCTCAGGAAGGGAAAGAGTTTGCGGAGAGCAAGAAGTTGCTGTTCATGGAGGCCTCGGCCAAACTGAACCACCAGGTGACTGAGGTCTTTAGCACCATAGGTGAGTGGTGGGGCCCCCAGGAGAGCAGGGGTGGTGGTGATGGTGGGGGAGGGGAGTCATCACTGCCTCTACTTCTTGGGTCTCCTTTCTGGCGTCCTGGGACCCGACAGAATGTCTCCGGGGGCTGGAAGGTGAGCAGGATTGCCAGGGGCCTGGACTTCATGGCTCTGGGTAACCGTCAGGGAGGACGGGGTCCCGGGACTGACCCGCGTGCAGGGTGCATGCCAGGCCGCGGGCCTCCGCTCCCAGACCACCCTCCTCTGTCCTTCACAGCCCAAGAGCTGCTGCAGAGAGAAGACAGGAAGAAGGCCCAGCCGCAGAGGGGAGATGCGGGGCTGGCTCTGAAGGGGGCACCTGCCGGGCAGGCCGGATGCTGTGCCCACTAACAGCAGCCGCGCCAGGAAGGGCCTGGGGAGGATGCCCCCAGGCCCCGGCTCCGGCTGCCCCTTGGGGTGAGCTATTGCCACGGCCACGTACTCTGATTCCTCCTGAAGCGGGCTTGTTGCCGAGTCCTAGAGATTCTGGAAGCTGGCATCCTTGAGCCTTACCACTTCTCAAAGCCGGCGGGAATCATTCAGGAGAGGAGCCAGTGACAACAGGCTCCCAGGGGTGATGAGAGAAATTGTCCCCTTTTAGGGTTTGTGGGCCTTGGTACGGGGAAGCTGGACTTTAACATTTACCAAGGGACGAAAACTTTTCAAAGCAGTCGCTCTGTTTCTGCCCCCAGCACACTTTGTACATCCGCTTCGTTAAAAACAAAACAAAACAAAACAAAACAAAACAACCAACAAGGAGCTTTCCAAACATAAAGATGAGAAAAAGAAAAAACACCTCCCTGGTTCCCGTAAGATGAAAGTCATACAGCCTCACACATACTAAAAACATAAGATAAAAATCTGTAACTTTCTGGAATGTTCTTTGCCGTGATGACTCGTAATTCTTTATGTAAAAGGCGTCTACGACTCTGCTCTTCCTTGTGAGGATCGTGTGTCCCGGGCAGATGTCCTCACTCGGGCTCCAATAAAACTCTTTTCTCTTTAAAATTTTAGGCCCCGTGTTGATGGGGTGGGGGTGGGGGGTGTCAGCTCTGCCTCAGCAGACGGTGATTCCAGATTCCCTGGGACAGGTGCACCCGCCTCTGCCTGAATTCTCATCCCCTCAGCTGCCTCACTACCCAGCGTAGGGTGAAGCAGGCCAGGGGACGACAAGGACTGGAAACCCTGGGCTGGACGGGGCGCTGTCCGGGGCTGGGCCCGCCTGGTTTGGGGAGCTGTGAGAGGAGGGGGCAGGCCCGGACAGGGGTGGCGGCGCTGGGAGGAGATGGGATGTGGACTATGGGGCTGCGTCCACGTCCTGCCTCTCAGGGTCGTGGCCCAGGGAGGGACAGAACCCAAGGGAGGGGTTGGGGCCCCAGGCCCCTGCCCCTCTCTTCTCCCGGCTCTGAGTTTCACCAGGTGATGCTTGTGCCCTGTGAGCCTGACTCTTGGCCTGTGGTGTAAGTTTTGCAGCTTATATGTCTTCAAACATGGAACCGTGTTCTCTAACCTGGCGGTTAGAGAGATTGCAAGTTGGGGTTTGTCATGGCACGTGGACAGGAGGTGGTGCGTGAATGAGGAGGCGGGCCCACGCACAGGCTGTGACGGAGGAGGCCCAGGACACCTCTCCGGTGGTGACACATCACGTGTTCACCTCCTTACTGCCCACCTTCAGGGGGAGGCCCCGATGGCCCTTCTGGGAGCTCAACCCTGATGTCAAGGTGGCTATTTTACTGTGGGGGGGGGGGGCAGGGGTGGTGTTGGTTTCATCCTTGTCCCTGGGACTGTGATTAGCTAGTCTGAAATTTTAAGTACTAAGACACTGTTGTCCCCCTGGAAAGGGTGGCCTTGCTGTATCGACTATGAGGGTCAACAGCAGGACCAAGGTCATGCTGACTCTGAATTCGTGACATCTGCAAAGGGTGTGGCAGCATTTCTAGGGGCTCCTCCGGAATTGCTCTCATCCACCTGCGTGGGGACGTCCTCCCAGCCCCAGGCCTGGACCTCTGTGGGGGCCCAGTGCATGAGGAACCCCGGCAGCAGACTGACCAGGACACGGAGCCAGGCACTGGCTGGGACCCGTCCACATGAGGTCACCTCAGCCTGGCAGTATCCTGCCAAGGGTCAGGGCTCCCCACGAGGATCCCTTCTAGGTTCTGGCAGCTGGTCCCGCCCTCATCCAGCAGGCCTGGGACCCTCTGCATTCCAACTTCGTGATCCTAATTGGAAGGAGCTGGGCCCAGGCAGACCCAGCGTCTGTTCTGGGGAGGTGGGGACAGCCCAGGTGTCCCACGGATTCAGGCCTTCCTGATGTACATTCTCCAAGAGCTTCTCATGGATCTTTCTAGACTAAAGCAGATTTCACAAGGCTTCCCTTGTCATGATCTTTGAGAAAAGCTACAAGGCAAATACAGAAAATAATAGCCTTGGAGAGGGCCTGCTTCCTTGATTTCCACTCACGTTATTTTTTTTTCTTGAACAATTTCATCCGTGGCAGTGTCTGTGGTCAAGTTGCCCGGTTTCTCATGATTATTCCCACGTAGATGAAACATGTAAAGTGTGAGTCCCTGGGGTGCCAGTCCCTGGGGTCCCCTTCCCCCTCTGCTCCCCCCATCTTCCCTGCTGTAGCAGGGCTGGGGACCCCTGTGCCAACCTGACCAGATCCCCCTTGGAGGCCGCAGGAGGCCGAGGTCACCCCTGGCCACTAGATGGCATTCCAGCATCGCTTAAGGCAGACCCCGCTGCTCGAGGGCACAGGGTCTGGGTATTCGCTGCTAAATGCCAGGCTTTCAGAGATATTTCTCATGAGTTGATTGATGCGATGGGAAGTGGCAAAATGAAGGAGATATTTGTAGGATACCCATGTATCTATACCTATTCCCTCCTGTTTTGTCTAGTGAGTATCACTGTGCTAGAATTTATTATTAAAACGTATCCTTGGACTTCTTTCCACCAAGCATCCTTCCATGGTGTCCTAGGCTGGATGCGGTGCATTGTGGTCCTGGAGCTCAGCTCCCCATCACCCAGGATGTGACTGCACCTTTCCCTCTCCTCTGCCCCACTAGGCGGGTGGCTCGACCCTGCTATGGAATGACCTGGGAGGCTCCACAAGCAGCAGCCCTTGCCCCCCGCAGGCTCTGGTTAAATTGGTCTGTGGTGCAGCTTGGGCCCTGGTTCCCGGGAGATTTGAGCCTTCCAGGTGAATCTAATATTCTGGCAAGCTGGAGAACCGCCCGAGGGCAGAGGTTCTAGCCGTCCTTTTCCTATGGGGCGCTCGGTGCCTGGTACAACATCTGACACCCTCCAGGCGCTCAACAAACGTGTGCCCGGCAAGAGGATAGAGATGGGTTTTCCCCCGAGATCTAAAGGAAAGACAGGCTTTCCAAAACCAGCTTCCACCACAATGACGGGTGGAAGGGCTCTGTATCTGTGCTCCGCCCACCTGATCTCAGCCCCATCCTGGAACCTGAGACTGGGGTGGGGGCAGTGTACGCAGGGAGATGCACCCATGGGGTCGGCAGGCATTCCCGGCGGAGTCCCAGGAATACCAGTTCCCTTGTGCAATGGCCTCTGGTCCTGACAATGTGGGAACAAAGGCAAATGACAAGTTGAATTTCCTTACTGCCTACAGCCCACTGACAAGTCCTTGAGACAGGCAGTGACCTTCCTCTGGGGGCTTTGCCCGGATGATGACACTTTGCTATGGGCAAAAGGCAAATTTAGCTTAACGTTATCCTTACCCACCCCGTCCCCGCCCCCAGGATCCCGTGAGTCTCTATTAACATATAAAAATTCCTTTAGAAACTTCCTTTATCTCTGCCTCCCGAGATATATGTTGGCAATCATCCTCCAAGCTTCTGGCCCTTGATAGCCATCTGAAGGATCTCCTGACAGTTTGTACTCAACAGCAGTAAATGACGTTTCCCTAGCAACAGCCAGCCCCTCAAGGTCCTGGACACCTTGCTTCCAAAATACCTTAGAGACTTGCGCTGTCCCTAACCCCCTCCCAAGCTGAAGGTGTATAATCAGTGACCTGCCACAACCCCAAGGCAGCTCTTTCTGCCCACGGGTCCTGTCCCTTTTGCACCAAAGATGTCTCAAGAATTCTTTCTTGACCGTCAGCTCCGGACCCCTACTGCTCTCAAACCCCATCACTGAGGGATGCCGGCCTGTGAGCCCACTGTCTTGCCTGCAGCCTGGGAAGCTGCTGCCGCCCCACTTAGCCTGAGTTTGGACCTGGGTCCTCTCTGGAGCCTGTATGTGTGCATGCCTTCGGTGATGGAGGCAGGAGACTCAGAGGGTTGGTAAGTGGCCTCCCCTTACTGCTGTCCTGCCCCTGAAGGTACCCTTTCCCTGTCTTCTGTTTCCTCGGGATGCATCTCCTCCAACCCCACTGGAAGAGTTCCCCGGGCCCTGTTAACAAGACAACCACAAGGCCATAATGGGACCACTGAAGGCCCTGTTAATACTTAACACAACCGTGGTTTCCACTCCTTCTGGAATGTAACCTTTAACCTGCCAAATTGGAATTTCCTGGAGGCCATCCTCTGCAAGACCCCTTCCCCCTTAGGAGGGCGACCTTGCCTAAACAATGCTAAGAAATCCCTTAAAAAAAAAAAAAAAAAAGAACCTTCTCTCTGTCCTTAAAATCTTTCCTTTTCTGCACCTGGGCAGAGCATGTCTACTGGCTGGACTGAATGCTGCTCGATTTAGGAGTTGCTTAATAAAGCCAATTAGGTCTTCAAATGTTTGAATTTTGTCTTTCAACAGCCCAGAGGGGTCGACTCAGGGACTTCTTCTTTCTTTAAAAATTATTCCTTTCTTGGGGTTCCCACTGGGCCAAACTGAGACAATTTAAGCATCTAATATTATTTGTAAGGTGTTGAACAAAAAGAGAGAGAGAGAGAGAGAGAGAGAGAGAGACCTCCTTTAGAAGAATCCAGCTAATAAATGTGGAAGGAATTGGAGAATCTCCATTGTGTGACCCACCGGTGAGGTCATTTGCTTCCCAGCAGGGATGTTCAGTGGGTGTATAAATCACTGGTGGGGGGGGGGGGGGGTGCTGGGCACACAGGGCTGGTATGTCAGGCACACGGTGAGCAGGGGGAGACCCCTTACGGCGGAGATCCCCGCCTCTAGGCCAGGGTCACACGGAGGCACACAGCAGGAGGAAGGACACAGCGCTGGTGCCCACAGCAAGTGACTGAATCCAGCTGAGGCGCTCGATCTGCCTCTCAGACCACAGGAAATTCAGGGACAGAACAAGGGAACACACCTCAACAAACCAGATCATTCTACAGGATGACGCATCTGGGCTCTTGAGAGAGTCCGTGTCAAGACAAAATAAGAAGGTCAGGGGCTAACAAGCAATACCTAACTATGACAGTGAATTTAGATCGCAGCCTGCTTTCAACAAAAAGAAAGAAAAAAGGACAGCAAGACTCTCTGGCCATACTTGGGGGTTTTTGACTATGGACTGAAAACCAGGTGCTATTATGGAGTTATTAGAAAATGTTTTAGGCACGGTCGTTTTGTGGTTATGCAGGATGCTGTCCTCATTTTGAGGAGCAACGTGCTGAAATATCTAGGGGAAATGTCACGATGTTTACAACTTACTTCCAGATGGTGGATGGGGAGAGAGAGAGAGAGAGAGGAAGAGAAAGCAAATACATAAAATAAAAAGTGTTGATTCTAAGAAAGGGTGTGTGGGATGCTCCTTAGATTACCTTTTGAACTTTCCCGTGTGTTTAAAAACTTTCATAAAAAGTTGCAGGAAGCATAATCTCCCGCCTCTCCATCCCTCTGGGCACAGAAGGTGTGTTAGTGGCCCGGGGCTGCCCTACCGGAGCACCGCAGTCTGGAGCCCATCGGCACACCGCTGTGTTTCCGTGCGAACTCTTTTTTTTTTTAAGGGTGTAATTTAGCGGCGTGAGCACATTTACAGGGTCTGCAAGCAGGCCCTCAGTCCAGCTCCAAGACATTTTCATGTCTGTCAAGCAGTTACCCTGGCAACCGGCAGTCTGCTCTCTGTCTCCCTTCTGCACATTTCATAGAAATCTGATCATACACTACGTGGACTTTCGCGCCTTCCACTTGGCGTCTCGTTTTCGAGGACCCGAGCTGTGGCATCGGCAGAACCCCGGTCCTTTTTATGGCTGAGTCCTAACGCGCTGTGTGGATCAACCGCACTTCATCTGTTCGTGTGTCACTTTCTGAGCATCTGCTGGGACCTGCTTTCCTGACTGCGCCCCGTCCCAGGCCTGGTCCAGCACCTGTCTGTTCCGGGGAGCGGTCCTGGCCGTGCCTCCTCCCTGTGTCTGGTGAGCCCTGGACCTCCCTCTCTCAAAATGGAGCAGGGACGGCTGGGGTCTGGGGGCCTGCAGGCCTGCTCTGTGGCCTCCTGGGTGTGGACGGACAGAAGTCTGGCAGTCAAGGTGGGCTCCCGAGACCCTGAAAGGGTGCAGACAGTGGCCCGCGTGCTCTGGGTTTGGAAGTGGCTGCCCGTTAAGCCCGTCCCCACCACCCTCCTCCCTGCACGCCGGGGTGGGGTGGGCCTTGGGGAAGGGGTTTACACCGAACACCCACACCGTGTTGGCCTGCAAGCAGGTGCTGTGACTGCCTGAGCTGTGGAGTGAGGTGGGTGTTCCTGTCCGGGGGTGTTCAGATGGGGACACTGAGGCTCAGCGTTAAGGGCTGGGCTCAGTTGCCCAGTTTGTGGGGGTGTGGCCCTGGCACCGAGGCAAGCTCCTCTGAGGCAGGACGTAGGGACATCTTGGCGCGATTTGGCACGGGCAGCAAAGGGACGCGGTGCAGTTCATTTAGGTTCGAGTCTCCCGCTGGTGGTTAGAAACAAGCAGCTCACGCTTGTCTTTCTCCTCTGAGTGCAAGCAAACAAGGGAGGTGAAAGTGACTGGGCTCAGAGAGGACGGGTCACGGGGGGGGGGGCTGTGCTGCCCGCCCCTGGGGGCCTCCTGCACCGCGTGGTGCAGTGTGCAGCCTGGACAGCCACTCAGAGCCGCTCGGGTGGAGGGCGCTATGGGCCACAGGTGACCCCGGAAGGTCCCAGCTCCCCTACCCAGTGCTGGGTGCCCTCAGGCGAGTCACGGAGCCTCTGGGCTGCTGGACTCTGAGCATCCTTCTAGGCTACTGTCCCTCGAGGGAAGACAGCTTCCAGTTTGCCACCACAAAGATGCAACTAAACAAGGCCAGCTGCTTTTATTAGGATTGAAGGGAAAGGAGCCGTGGAGGTGGTGGGGGGAGGCTCCTGGAATCATGTCTTCCTGCGCCGGGCTGTCCCCCATCCCCAGAGGGCTCAGCGCCTCCTTTCAGGGGGGAGCAGCCTGGCCGGTTCACGACATCCCGGGGGGGCTGCTGTCCTCCGGCCGAAGCGGCCCACGGGTCTGATCCTGCGGCCCGCGTACCAGGCGGGATCGATGTCAGGGTCTGGGAAGGAGAGAGCGAGAGCTTGTGCGCGGGCGTCCGCTGTGCGTCCCCTGGCACGTGCGTGCCGTCTGTCCCCGCAGGTGGCAGGCCAGGTCACTTCTGGGTAGTGGGCAGCTTTGGGAAATGGGAACTCAAGCTACGCAGCCACCCCTTCCTCCCCCGCCCCCCCCAGGGTCTCGTGCCAGGGGCGGGGAAAGCCAATGAGCCCCTCAACTGTGTGCTGCGCGCGGCGGCAGGGGCGCTGGGAAGCAAGTGACCGGGCCATTCCCTGGAAAGGCCTGGCGAGCAACAGGCCGCACCCCTCCCAGGGCAGGGGCACTCGTGGTGAGCCACGGTTCCTGGGGGTGGAGGGGGGTGGGGCGGGTGAAGGAGGCTGATGCCCAGGGTCGGGCACTCACTGCGGATCTCCATGGAGTGCGGGTGGGTTTGGCTCGCAGCCCCCCACAGGGCCATTCCCAGCAGCAGCAGGCCCAGCAGCCAGGCCTGCAAAGCCTTCATCCCTCGGCTCCTGGCTCAGGGCCGGCTGGAGGTGGGATCCCACCCGGGAGGGCACGACCTGGGCGCAGGGCAGGAGCAAAGTTACGTTACACACCCGGCAGGGCGGGCGGCCACAGAGGTAGGAGCCTTAGAGAACGCGAGCGCGGCGTGCGCGAGCGAGTGTGTGCACGCGCATGTGAGTGTACATGCGCGCGCGCGCATGCGTGGGACCGCGCGCCTGTGTAGGACACGAGAGCGCGCGCGTGCGGTCACAGGCCCGTGCACGTGTGAAGAGTGGGGTGCACGCGCAGCCGCCCTCCGCCGTGAGCCGCTCTGAGCTGCGCTGGAGCGGGCCTGGGCCACACCCGGCCCTTTGCAAAGCGCGTCGCCCTCCCCGGGGCCTCATTCTGTGCAGCGAGCCTTACGTGAGGCCAGCACGCGTGTGTCAGCCTCTGACGGGCTCAGACCCATTTGCACCACCCCCGTGTCATCGGAAGGAACTGGGGAGGTGTACACGCCGTGGGTGTAGAGAGGTGGGCTGTCTGGGAATGGCCCCGGTCTGTCTGTCTGTCTGTGTCAGGGAGCCGGAGGGACTGGAGCTCTCTACCGCTGTGTGCACCCTGTGCACACAGGCGGGGGCGCAGAGGCGAGCAGGGTGTGGGAAACTGGCCCCCAGGGTTGCTGCAGAGGCCCTGGGCGCAGGGGGCGGTTTGCCTGCCAGGGACGTGGCCGGGGGCTGGGGGTCCCCGGTGCAGGCTGCTTTCCCTCACTCAGCCCAGGACTTCCCGACACCCAGTCCATCGTGTCCCCACAGGTCAGCTGGTGGTCAGGCTGTGGAAGAGTCCTCTGGTACCCTGCCATTGTCGGGGGACCTGGCCCTCCTCCCGCACGTGCCCCCGCCCTCGGCACTTGGGGGGGGGGGCATCAGAAGG